GCCGGGCCGCCCATGGGGAGCTCTGGGCAGAGGTCAGATGGCAGGCGGGGTGGGGGCTCACCGTGAGGTGCCAGGAGCAGTGGGTACTGGGCGAGTAGTAGCTGGGGAAGTACGGGGTGCTGAGGACGCCTTGCGGGTCCAGCCGGCCCTCCAGCGTCAGGTTCAGCTCGCAGGCTGGGCCCGGGGAACAGCCCGTTACACAGGGCCGCCTCCCTCAGGTGGGGGGCAGCTCGTCACCCCACCACCCCCACTACCACTGACAGTAAAGCCAGTGGCTGAGTGTGACTGTGTGAGCTTGAGCCTCAGTTTCTTCATCTGCAAAACGGGGAAATAATCGTATTAGGTCCAGGGGAAGTCACCGCATGCTTTTCTCCGTGTCCTCTCTGTAAAATCGCGCCATCACTTTCCTGACAACCTGATACGTACCTCACAGGGCAGTGGAGCCGATGAAATAGACATGAAACGCTGGAGCAGCCCGGCACGCAGTAAGTGCGCAGTAAATGCTAACTATGCGCACCTGCCGTCTGTGCTCCGGCCTACTGAGCCTCACAGCTGGGGCTGCGGGCGGGGGCAGCTGCTCCCTTTTTCAAAAATGAGGTTTGGAGAAGAGGAACGGGTTGGCCGAGGCTGGGGCTTGAGGGTCAGGAGCGGGCGCGTCCTCAACTGCCCTGGCCATCTCTCCAAGGGGCCAAGGTCCCTAAAGCCCCTCTTTCCCCTCCCCCTGGAGCCTGCGTCAGAGACGCCCAGGAGAATGGAGCCAGCTCTCCCCAGCATCCCAACAGGGAGGGCAGGGGACCTGGAGACCTCAGGGGCTAAGCTGGGGAGGCAGGACACTCAGTGGGAAAGAGCAGGGGTGGGGGACAGCAAAGACCCGCTGAGGACACGTGGCCTCCTGTGTGCAATCTCCCTCCAGGGCCCCAGAAAAGGCAAGGTTTGCCTGCCCTTCCAGGGACGGCCACTGGGTCATGGGAGGGCAGCCGTTTTCTGCCTGGGGAAGGAGGGCGGGAGAGCCAGAGCAGGAGAGTGGGAGTCTGGGAGGGTCAGCCAGCTCAGAGGGCCTGGAGAACAGCCCGGTGTCCCCAGGTGGGGGAGACCTGCCCTTCCAAGTCAGGCCTCGCACCCCCTCCCCGCTGTAAGAGGTTGTGGGGCAAGTCTGCAGGCATCCTCAGGCCTGCTCAGAACAGACCCAGTCTCCAGGCTTGCTCAGAAGGGCGGGTTCAGAGGGAGGAGGGCAGGAGAGACCCCGAGGAGAGGGGACAGATCCAGCGTGGAGGAGAGAGCAGAAGGGACAGACAGGAACACAGAAGAGAACATTAAAGGAGGCAGGAGAGAGGATGGAGGGGCGATGAGAGCCGAGCACCCCCGGGAGAGGGTGGGAAGGCAAAGAGAAGACAGGAAAGCAGGGAGAGTACCCGGAGGAAGGGAGCAGCTGGCAGCAGGGTGCAGAGCAGTGGAGCTTCCAGAAGCTTCCTTCTCCCCCATCCCATTCTCGACTGGGGTAAAGAAGATGGAGGGAGTGCGGGGAGGGCCCTGGGAGTATGCGCCACCCTCCCGCAACCTCCGACCCTCACCTTGGAAGGCCACGGGCTGCACGGAGAGCTGGAAGGGGTCGTAGTAGCTGTGCAGGCCCTTCTTCCACACCACCGCCATGACGGCGCCCGACGCCAGGACCTCCACCACGGGCTCCTGGCGGCTGCAGCCATTGGCCCTGTGGGACAGAGAAGGGGGGCAGAGCTAGGCAGGTTCTGGAGGGACCCTGGAGGGGCCAACGAGGGTAGTCTAGAGTCCATCCATCTGGATTCTAGGCCCGGGTCTGCAGCCAGCCTGTTGTGTGTCCACGGACAGGTGTCTGCCCCTCTCTGGCCCTAGGGGCCGCTGGAGGCCCTCCATGGGTCAGCCAGCTCCTCCGGTGAGAGACCAGGAGGTTCCTCAGATGGCGGGGCTTGGGCTTGCCATCAGCCATGGTGCTGACCCCAGCCCACAGCACCCCCTTTTCTCATCAGTTACCTGTGCCCTGGGCACTCCTAGCAGGGCCTACACTGGCACCTGTGGAGGTGGCCCTCTGGTTGCCCACACCCTGGATCCTGACCTGTGCTATGCAGGGACAGAGAGGGAGCAGGTGTGTACCTGGTGGCCTCAGGGACCCAGGATCAAGCCAGAGCTTGGCATGGAGGAGGCTCAGGAGCCTGGAATGTCAGCCCCCAAAAGACCCTACTGAGACTATTGAGGCCCATAGCGTGGCTTCCAGATAGGGAAACAGGCCCCCCTGGCGGCTTACGGCAGAGATAGTCAATGCTCTGTGGTCCTGAGGTCTCTCCTAGCAGGCCCCATGCCCTGGGCTGGGGTCAGACAGCCATGGCCTCTCCTGCGGCTCCTGCCGGGAGAGGGAGGCCACCTCATATACCCGGCGCTGCCCACCCTGATCCCAGTCCCTTTCTCCTCTTTGACTGCGGCTCGATCCCCTCGTGCGGTGGTGCCCGGCTACCACCACCCACTCCCTGTCCAGCTCGCCTCTGGGGATGGGAGGTACGGTTTTAGCACTAAGAGGGCTGGGTCGCTGCTAATGGGAACCTGGGCTTGGATTGTGAACGCAGGGCAACAGACCGCGTGGTTAGAGCTGGCGGAGGTCCCACCTGCTCTGTCTTCCCGTCACCCCAAAGCCCCCTTCACTCCACACCCCAGCATGACTAAGGATCTAGTCTGACTGGTGACTTTAGACCTTCTCCAAGGGTCTGAGGAAGTGAAATGCCCAGGGCCACAGTGCCAGAGTGGGGCCTGGCAGCCGGGTCTCTTCCTCAATAGCGGGCTGGGAGGGGCCCTCAGAGACACCCCAGGGGAAACGCAGAAGCACCCCAACCTCCCCGGACCTGGAAGTCAGATGGTGTCTGTCTTCTCTGCACTTCCCAGAGCCCTCCAGGAATCCAGCCCACACAGCACAGACCGAGGTCACCACAAAGTGGGCAGGTTAGGGCGGAGGTGGGCGGTGCAGAGAGTGGTTCTCAGAGCTGGAGATTCTCAAGGCCCTGGGGTGGAGTGGATCCTCCTCCCAGCAGCCTGCAAGGCCTGCCTGGGAGCTGAGCACACAGGTCCCACCCCATCCACCCAGAAGCTGGGCAAGGCCCAAGTGAGACAGAAAAGGCACCCACTGGTACCTGGGACAAAGTAAGTGCCCAATAGACAGTGATGGGCAGGCCGCCTGCCCGAGCGTCCTCCTCCAGCTCCTATAGAAACCCGAAGGCCCAGAACCTCCTCTCCACCCTGTGAGGAGGTGACCAGGCTCCACCCTCCTCCCTACTGGTTACTTCGGCACACCATGCCGCTCTCATGTCCTGAAGCCCCACTCCTCTGTTCAAGAACTTTCCGTAGCTGCCCACTTACCAAACGCTAAAGTCCAAATGCTCCTGGAACCCCACGCCCTCTGCGGCCCAGCCCAGACCGTGTACGATGATGTCACTGAGGCTAGCATTACCCGAGTGCTGTGCAGTCACTGGGCATGCACTGTGGGTCGTGGCACAGACAGCCTGATTTAAATCCTCACACCTTCCCTGCCAGGTGAGCATGGCCGTACTTCCATCGGACAGGTGAGGACTCAGAGAGGCACAGCGACGTGCCTTAGGCACACAGCCAGGGAGCAGTGGAGTAGGGGCAGTCCAGGCTGCTGCCAGGCTCTGAAAGTTCCCCACCAGCCATGTGGCCTCCCAGAGCTGGCCTTCAGGGCCACACAGAACAGCTGCCCTGCTAAGTAAGGATGGGGAGACCGAGGCACAGGGAGGGGAGGGGACTGCCCACAGTGTAGCACCTTTTCTGGCCTTTTCCCCTCACCACTAGGCTGGCGTTGCTGTCCCTCAGATGTCCAGGCCAAGGACACACAGGTCCTGGTATACCTGGTTCCTCCAGCCCATCCCCACCCACTTCCCAGGGACTCACGAGGTGAGGAGCCTCCTCTCCAGGGGCCCAGGCACGTCGTACATGGCCAGCCGGTCCCGGCACTCGGCCAGCAGCCAATCGAGCCGCAGTTTGAGCATGGAGTCCTCAGGGCCCTGCAGGTGCCACAGGCAGCTGGAGGACAGCTGGTCAGGCCCCCTCAGCCGTTGTACCTGGCCCTGCTCCACATAGCTGTAGCGGTAGCAGCCTGGAGGGGAAGATGAACAGGAACCCCTGGCTCCTGTTAGCCAGAAAGAGAGGCTCCAGGGAGCCAGGCTTGCAGGCCCTGCCTTACAGGGCACTCGACGCACCTGCTCTCCTTGCCCCTCCCCTGCAACCTTGCCTTTCCAGTCTCCTCGCTCCTGCACTCTCTCAGCACCTCGATCATGCATTCACTCAACAAACACGCACTGAGCTGTCCCGGCCAAGGGAGCACCCAGATAAAGGTCCAGGCACTGGCTGAGAAGGTCAAGAACAGTGTGAGCAGATGGAGAAATGGGACGACGGCTCAGGGGGTGAGGACTCCAGACCCGGCCGGCAGCAGGGGTGTCCTGGTTGTAGTGTGAGCAGAGGCCTAGGAAGCACAGCAGCCTGGAGGAACCTGTGCTCCTGGCACGCAGAGGGGGACACGCCAGAGACAGGGACGCAGGGCCCACGCCACACCTGGAGGGTGCTGCTTTCCCCTGTGGCCATGGGGAGCCATAGGCGTTTAGGCAGGGCTGGGGCAGACCTGTCTGGCTGCAGGGAGCAAGGCCGAGGAGGCAGAGACCAGCAGGGCACTATGCAATGGGAGAGCAGGGGTGAAGCTTTACTCCCACGGTGGGAGGGGTTGGTGCAGGAGTCTGGGCACAGCCTTGGAGGAGGAAGTGGGCTTGAGCTAATGGGAGTGGAACAATGAGAAGAAAACATTATGCTTCTGAGCATGTGAACCCGCAGGGACAGGGCCAAATGCTGCATGGTCGCCAATGTCATGGGATGCTCAGACAGTTCCAGAGACACTTTGTGTAATTGTATCCGTCACACAGACCGGCTGGCCGACCCGGGTTCACCTAACCACCACCTACTCTTTCCTGGGGCTCGGCTTTCTGTCCTGTAGAATGGGGACAACAGCAGCACTTGACAGGTCATCCTCTGGCTCAGGGACGGTGCCTGGTCGGCCCCTAGCACAGAGCCACACGCGGCAGGTGGCCAATGAAGGCAGCAACTGTTCTCCTTCAGGTGGTGTTGCTGAGCGGGAGCTCGTGTGGCCGGGAGAAGGTCCTATGCCTTGTCGCCCTGCAGCTGGCCTCGCTTGATGCTCAGCGCCGTCCAGATCTCCTCCCTTACACCCCACATCCACACCCCCACACCGGTGGCATGTAATCCATGCGCTTTGAACATGCTAGAGCTCGTAAGGCAGCATTACCTACGCCCTCCACTCACTCACTCAGGATAATCACTGAGCACCTGCTCTGAGTCTGAGCTACACCAGGGCCCAGCGGTGAATAGACACCCTCTCCCAGGAAGCACACAGTATCTCATTTAAACCTGGCCATAGCCTGCGAGCCTGCGGGTTGGGCATTCTGCAGGGAAGCGAGGGATTGGAATGGTCCCAGGACGTGGAAGGAAGCCTAGTGACTCCTCAGCTGTGTGGCCCTGGGCCAGCGGCTCAGCCATCGGCGTTCTGTGGAACAGACAATAATCTGGGTGGCTCCGAGGACCACAGACAGAACAGAGAGGAACATGCTTTGCTATGATGCTGCTGCTTGTGAGTCAGCTCGCCCCCAGCCCTGCCGTCCTGGGGAGACCTCTGCTGTCTGCCTGAGGGTGGCAGGGGCAGGGCTCAGGAATCCGGCTCTCCCAGCAGCTCTGGAAAGGCACCTGCTGTTGCATCCTTTAGCCCTGGCTCTGAGCTGAAGCCTAACTCTTGCCATTTCTCTCAAGACTGTCTTTTCTCCTAGGGGCTCATGAAGTGGAGAGGAATGTGTGGGTCTCTGCTGGGAATTAGAAACACCTTCAGGGAATCTGGCACCTCAGTTTCTGGGAGGAGGTAAGTGCATTCTCTACTTCCAGCCTCTGCTCATGCTGCCCTCTGCCCAGAGTATCCTTTCTCTTTCTCTACCTGACAAGTCTTCCATCTTCCTTATGCCTGAGATGACGCCTCTTCCTCCATGAAGTCTTCCTGGATCTCCCTGTCAGGAGCAATGCCTTCCCTCCCCGGATCCCAGCACTCTGAGTGAAGTCTCTAGTGGCACAGTCCTCCGGTATCGCTCTCTGTCCCCAGGGCAGACCAATTCCTGCTCTCCTCTGCCTCCGGGGGCCCCTACTCCAGCACTGGCACTTAGTGTTCTGAGCATCTGTTTATGTGTCTGACTCTCTCCTGGGGCCCAGAGCTCTCCCGAGGGCAGGGGTGGGGACATAGTCATCCTGGTGTCCCCCGAGCAGGCATGGGGTCTGGCATGGAGGAAGAGCTCACGGAGCTGATTTAAAGGCTCTGAATTGCCGTCACTGCCCCCTTAGATTCTGTGCTCCTGGCGGACAGGGCTGTGGGTGTGCACTGAGCCAAGTGAGGATTAACTGCAGAGACTACCAGTACTGGGGGACACGTGGCACAGGCACAGCACGGGCAAGGCTGAGGTGTGTGCAAACGCAGTTGCACTTACACATGAACACGTGTGCACACCTAAACGCCCAGTGAGGCTGGGACGGGTGGAACAGATGCAGCACTCCCACTCGCACTAGCTAGGGGTCCTCCACTGGGACCCGCTGACCGCCTGACACTGGGACTTTTTCCTGTCTGTGACCTTCCAAAGAAGACATTTTAAAGCAGAGACAATAGAGTAAAAACTCGATTTTTCACTTGTAAAATCCAGGCCTTTGAGAGAATAAAAGCTTCCTCTGAGCTCCCAGACTTCCCAGAGCCAAGCTGGGAGAGGCAGCAGAGCTTAGGAAACTTGCTGCTGGTTGGTGTCACTGCCTGCCAGGGCTTCTCAGTGCATAGGGGGCCCTGGAACCCCAAGGGAACCCCAGGTCTGCGAATTGAAATGCAGATTCCTGAGCTCCAGGCCAGCAGTGGGCTCTGAACGTAAGGGAGGTCTAAGCTCAGCATTCCTTAAAAGTTTATTGATTTATTCTGAACAACACAGAAAGAGCAAAAGACACACACACACGCACACGCAGCATCCCCCCATGGGACATGGTCATGCTAAACTCTCCTTCCACTTCTCCCTCCTGTCAGGATTTTGGGCATGCACACACATGTGCTTGGCATATTTTTCAAGCTGCCGGGGCTGGGATTCAAACCACAGTGGACCATGTGGGATCTGGCTCCCTTAACCATTGTACTACGGGGCCAGCACCCAACAGGGTCTTGATGTTGTGATCCACATCCAGCCCCAGTCAGCCCAGAGCAGGGCACACACAGGCCTGGCATACTCAGGGAGGTTTCTGGACACGAACTGGGAACCTTTCCACATGCGAGCCTCTCAGAGCATTGCATTTCCCCACAGCACTACCGCCTGGCCCCTGGTTCTGTGTTTTCACTTACTTGCCACAGAGCTCCCAGGAGACTGAGGCAGCTGAGACAGGAGGTAAGAGGTGAGAGACAGGAGCTAGGCCAATGCTGAGAATGAAGTTTCACAGAAGGGGAGATTGAGACAAGGGTCGGGGCAGGAACCAGGCCAACCCCAATAACAGCGCTTCACAGGGAAAGGGGAATTGTAGAGTCTGCCTGCCGCGATTGCCCGCAGCTGTGTGGTCACATCGAGCATGCAGGGGACCTTGGTAAACCTTGGCTTCATTGCAAGCTGAGAAACACACCCCTGGGGGCATCGTAGGTGCCAATGATATGTGCAATGCAAGTTCAAGCATGTTCAGCCAGAGGGCAAATGCATAAGTGAGTACGCTTATGGGGTCCTCAAGACCCCCAACCCCTAAAAATCCACTCCCTTTATGAATAGGTGTGAAAAGAGATTTTCTCCCAAAGGCCCCAGGGCCATCCCCTTCTCCCTGCAGCCTGCTCTGCCTGTGCAGTGAATTCCCACTTCTCCTCAATAAACTTGCTTGCATGCACACACATGTGCTTGGCATATTTTTCAAGCTGCCGGGGCTGGGATTCAAACCACAGTGGACCATGTGGGATCTGGCTCCCTTAACCATTGTACTACGGGGCCAGCACCCAACAGGGTCTTGATGTTGTGATCCACATCCAGCCCCAGTCAGCCCAGAGCAGGGCACACACAGGCCTGGCATACTCAGGGAGGTTTCTGGACACGAACTGGGAACCTTTCCACATGCGAGCCTCTCAGAGCATTGCATTTCCCCACAGCACTACCGCCTGGCCCCTGGTTCTGTGTTTTCACTTACTTGCCACAGAGCTCCCAGGAGACTGAGGCAGCTGAGACAGGAGGTAAGAGGTGAGAGACAGGAGCTAGGCCAATGCTGAGAATGAAGTTTCACAGAAGGGGAGATTGAGACAAGGGTCGGGGCAGGAACCAGGCCAACCCCAATAACAGCGCTTCACAGGGAAAGGGGAATTGTAGAGTCTGCCTGCCGCGATTGCCCGCAGCTGTGTGGTCACATCGAGCATGCAGGGGACCTTGGTAAACCTTGGCTTCATTGCAAGCTGAGAAACACACCCCTGGGGGCATCGTAGGTGCCAATGATATGTGCAATGCAAGTTCAAGCATGTTCAGCCAGAGGGCAAATGCATAAGTGAGTACGCTTATGGGGTCCTCAAGACCCCCAACCCCTAAAAATCCACTCCCTTTATGAATAGGTGTGAAAAGAGATTTTCTCCCAAAGGCCCCAGGGCCATCCCCTTCTCCCTGCAGCCTGCTCTGCCTGTGCAGTGAATTCCCACTTCTCCTCAATAAACTTGCTTGGGACCAGCAGTTAGCATAATGGCTATGTCGCTGGACTCCCATGTAGTCGACTATGGTTCGAGACCCGGACCCGGTGACTTAAACTCACGCCGAGCGCTTGTGCATGCGTGCCCAAGATCCCGAGAGGAGAATGGAGGAGAAGAGATTGCAGCATGGCCATCCCCCCTGGGGAGTGATTTCTTGCTTTCTGTCTCTGTCTCTCTCTGTCTGTCTTGCAAGCGCACACGCCCTATAGCAAAAAAAAAAAAAAAATTAATAAACTTGCTTTGCTTCACCATCTGACTCGTGCTCGAAGTCTTTCCTGTGCCAAAGTCAAGAACCTGAGAGACACCCCCCACCACCAGCATGAACCACAGAGCAGAAGCGAAGGCACGCAATTATAAAAGTCATCTTCCCGGGACCAGCAGGCAGCATTGGGCTTAAGCCACTGGATCCCACATGGCCAACTGTGCAGTTCGAGGTTTGAGTCCAGGACCCAGCAGCTTGAAAATCACTCCAGGCGCTTGAGTGTGTGTCCAAAATCCTGAGAGGAGCATGGAGGAGAAGGCACTGCGGCTTGGCCATCCCCTTGGGGAGTGTTTTCTCACTCCCACCACCACCCCATGTCTCTCCCTGGCAAGTGCACATGCCCTATAGCGGAAAAAAAAAAAAAAGAAGAAGAAGAAGAAGAAGAAAAGTCATCATTTTCATGGAAAAAAAAATTCTCAAGACTTGGAAATGAAGTAGGAAGACCATGGCACAGAGGGCCTCTTCAATACCGCGCTAGCTCGGGGCTCTCCGGGCTGTGTCCCTTCAGGTCCTGACACCCTTTGAGGGTGTTCTCGAAGTCAAAATATTTTCATAACACCACAAGGGACACCGTTGGCCTTTGTCTCTTAAGAGTGACGGTGGCGTCTTCCAGAGCCTGTGGCCTGTGACATCGTAACAGACCAAATGCGGGAGCCGACGGGGCACCCAGCTGTCTCCCAGTAACAGGACACAGAATTCAGGCTCCAGAACAACAAAGCCCTCTCCAAGCAAGTACTTATTTTGTTAATAGTTTTTATGTATTTAGTTTTGTACCAGGGGGCTCATGAGTTCCCTACGAAAAGAGAAAGAAAATGAGAAATCATCCCCCAGGGCAGATGGCCACATGGGAGTCCCTTCTCCAACACTTGCCTCTCAGGATTTTGGGTGTGTACAGACACATGCCCAGCAAGCTTCTCAGGCCACCCGGTCCAGGACTGGAACCACAGAGTCAGGTATGTGGGATTTAGTGTCTTAACCACCATGCCACCTGGCTCAAATACCCCCAACCTCTAAAAATCCACTCCCTTTATGATAGGTGTGAAAAGAGATTTTTCTCCCAAAGGCCCCAGGGCCGTCCCCTTCTCCCTGCAGCCTTTAATATTAATGAGCTTATTATTGTTTTAAAAATAAGCAAATATGAATTAATAAATGTTTTTTTAAATTTTAATTTCTGTGGTAAATGTGTTAAAACCTCTTTGGGGTCCTCTATAATTTCCAGGGAGTCCTGAGAGCCATAAGTTGGAAGATGCATTTCCAACATCAGGGATTGCACACTTGAGCCATAAAGAGCTATAGGGCACATGCGCTCACCAGAAAGACAGAGAGAGACAGAGAGACCGAACGAGAAATCACCCCCCGCCCCGGGGAGGATGGCCACGCCGCAATCCCTTCTCCTCCATTCTCTTCTCGGGATCTTGGGCACACACGTACACACGCCTGGGGTGAGTTTAAGCCACCAGATTGGGGACTCAAACCACGGTTGACCACATGGGAGTTCAATGACATAGCCATTATGCCAACTGCTGGTCCCAGACGGTACATAGTTTGGGAGATAACAGAAAACTGAGGCTGTTACAGGGTCTTCCGTAACAAGAGAGAAAACAGCCAGTCCTTGGAGTGTGGTGAAGGCAGCTGGATCTCATATGGGCCACTGAGCAGTTTGAATCCTGGACTTGAAGGCTTGAAAAATACACCAGCCACGTGTGTGTGCATGCCCCAGATCCCGAGAGGACCATGGAGAAGGGACTGCAGTGGGGCCTCTGCCCTGAGGCAGGGGGCTGGTTTCTCACTTTCCCTCTCTCTCTCTGTCTTCCCAGCTATAGCTCAATGCCCTATAGTCTCTCTCTCTCTCTCTCTCTCTCTCTTGATTTAAAATTGATATATATCAATTTATATTGATAAATATAAATTTATTAAATTTAATGGCATATATATATATATTCTTAGCTTAGAGGGCCACATAAAATCGGGTGGGGTGGGCCATATTTGGGGTGCAGGCCCTAATGTCCCTACCCTTAACCAAGGTCACCATCTAATGAGGCCCCCTTAGGCTTCTCCCTCAGGATAACTCTGACTTACAGCTGAGCTCAACTTCCAACAGAGTTGACTTCTGTAACGGAGTCAGATGCTAACTATTGATAACCTGTAAGTGACTTTGGTTCACTAGGAAAGATAACCCCAAATGTGATCGTTTTATGCTGATGGGACATTAACCGGTTTTGAACCTAACCCGGCAATGTCATTCAGCATTCTGTTTTACACTGACGGTGGACGGGTGGATGGGTAGATGATAGGTACAGAGGTTGATAGCTAGCTGACAGAGCTGGTAGTATAGACAGCCATTTCTGGGTCTTTTCCATCCTCCTGGCTCTCCCATTAATGGGTTAAATAAGTCAACACTTTTTACTCTATTTTTTTATGAGAATCATAAAAAATTGGGGGAACTGTACTTGGACCTCTTTGCCTCATCCCACCAAGGAAGCGAACATCAGATCAGCAGGTCGGGAGGAGGGAGAGGTTAGAAAAGGTGTAACTAGGCTTAAATCGCGGCCTCTCTCCCTGGGAGCTGAGGGGACCCCCCACCTCTGGAGAGCGTAGTAGGAATCTGACAGCACAGGGGCTTGTGCCAAGGGTTGTAGGGTACGGGAGCCCAGGTGGTGCACTGCCCGACCCCCATAGTCACTAGTCACATAGACTACGGGGACAGCACCCTGGCGTTGTGCTGCAGGGTGGCCTTGAGGGTGCTGCTGCTCAGGGCTCAGCAGGAAAACTGCAAGGCCTCATGGAGAAGAGCAAGAGGATTGTAGCCACACAGCACCTGGGAGGGGGTGCTGATTAGTCCGGCAGAGAAGAGAAGGGAGAGTGAGGGGGTGCCCTTGAATGCCACAGAACTGCCACTGGCTTTAATCCCAAGTGACAGATATTCCTTAAATTGGCAAGACTGGAATTCTCCAGAAACAGGGGCTTGTGGGCAAGTCAAATTCCGTGATTAGAAAGGCAGAGTCCCGTGTACACACAGCTACACCTGCTACTCACCCTCGCGCCACACACAGCCACAGATCCACTTCCGCGTACAGGACACACGTACACGCACACGCACAGCACCTGCCCCAACCCCACCATCACTGAGCCCACTGGGCATCCCCTGGGTGGCCCTGAGCCCGGGCTCCCTGCACCCTCTGCAGAAGCCATGTGATATCTGACACTCAACCTGCCAAGGAAAACAACTAAAAAAAAGTGGGTAGAAAAACAAAAGTAGCGTACCCAGCGTGGAATTCAGGGCAGCTAAGTCTTTCACACTGGCTTCTGTTAAAAGGAAACGTATAAATAAATAAACAAGGACAAAAAAGTAAATAAAATAAAATACAAGGAAAATAAAAACAGAGGAGACCATTAGAGCCAGCCCCACTTGAGATTACCCCCCGCTCCCCCCTTCGCCTGGCCCCTGAATCTCCTGGGGGCCACTCTGCGAGCAGCCTGGCTTGGCGGGGGGCCTTCCGGCGCCGGCCACC